CCCCGCGCAGGGGCGTGGAGGCACCAGCTCCCCAGGCCCCCTCACCTCTCCTCCCATCCTTACTGTGCCATTTCCCTTTCCTTCCTAAGCTCTCCATTTCGGGAAACTGTCTCCCTCGGTTTTCCCCTGCCCTCCCCCGCCCTCTGCCTTTTACCCGCGAGTCGCCGGCGGGGAAAGGCTAGGGGAGGGGGTTCTGAGGTGGCCGGGAGGTGTGGGTTGCAGTGAAGGGAGGGAGACGAGGGTCCGGTGGCCCGGGAGCCAGCGCGCAGCGCCTGCGCCCGGCGGTCCAGCCCGCCAGCCTTTCNCCTTTCCCTCCATCGTCCGCCCGCGCCCGCGGCAGGCGGGCTGGGGACTGACCCAGGGCGAGGTGGCCGCTGCGAGAGAGGGGGCGAACCCCGGCGCTCCGTGAGGGGACCTCTGGGGACGCTGGGGATGGGCACTGGGCCCAGATCCCGCTGTCGCTCACAGCCAGGCTTCCTTCAGTCCAGGGTCGCTGGGCATTTCTGTGTCAGGAGGTGCCCACCCCCCTCCACCCCTGCGCCCTGCCCCTCCCAGACCTCCTGGACGCAGGCTCTCTGGGCCAGCGGCCAGGAACCACACCAGATACACCAAGGCGGCCAGTTGACTTTTTCGGTAACCTAGAGCTACAGACTCTGCTGTGCCAGGCAACCCCCTACCCCCTCAGCTACCCATCCCTAGTCCTCAAGTTCCTTCTCTCCATGCCTGGGAAACAGCTGGGTTTAGAGATCAACTTGTTCCCTTGCAGGCTTTCGAATGCAAAACCCACTTCTGAGCCCTTCTGTTTTCAGAAAGAAAAACTCTGAACTGGCTTCTTGCATAACCCTTCCTTCCACAGCCTGCTGTCTGGTGGCCTGGCCTCTCATCCCAGAGATAGTACTGTTTGGATTTGTTGCGTAAGGAAGGGAGGATTAGGGGTTTACTCTGTCCCTCCTCCCCCCACCAAAATAAAAGTCCCCAAATGGCGAGTCCCTTAGACAGGGTCTTTTGCAGCAGCAGTGCTCCTAAAAGAAGTCCGTCTGGTTAGAAGAGCTGCTCCCAGCACAGTAGTCTTGGGAGACGGACCAATTTCCAGTGGGAGAGTCCCGAGTCCGAGTCCGGAGTGTACCTGGTTCTCGGAAGCAGCCACCACTAGGCTTCCCAGGGTGGCACTTACCTGGCTCAGAGGATAGCCTCTGGTTGGAGAAGGCAGCTGTTGCCTGTGCTGGAATTTCATCCGCTGGGAGCAGGCGTCTGACCACGGAGAGCACCACCTTCAGCTGCACGGCTTCACCGCCTTCTACACGCATTTTCTGTGCCTTATACGTTTTCTTAATATCTCATTACCCTTCTCCATTGTCCTACACGTATTATCTTAAAAGACGCATTTAGATAAGGAAATCGGAGCTAACTGTTCTCACTTGGAAGAACTTAAATAAAAGAGGTAAGTTGCCACTCCAATTTGGAAAACCACCTAAATTATTAATAAGGATTTGTTCCGAAGCACAACTCAGTTTTAGCTGCCTCTCTGCATTCTTTGCATGTGAAGTTACTTTCATGTAAAACAGCAGCCGCTCATTATGCATTCCTTTTTATTTGTATCAAAAAGGGTTGATGTCCTCGGGCTGGAGGGGCAGCCACAGAATCAGTGGAAGGAGGCCTGACACTTTCTGGAAGAAGCCAGTTTCCGTGTGAGAAAGGAGCTGAAGTCCACAAATCCAATATTTATGTTATATTATTGTTTTCCTTCTGAAGCTGTGCATTTGGCCAGGGCTTGCATTGCTTCTAGTAAATGGACAGCAGGGTGGGGAGCTAGAGGGGGGCCCCTTTCTGAGCTGGGGAGGGCGGGGAGGGTGAGGTAGGCGCTAAGTCTGGCCTGTGATGTCCTCTGGAATCAGTGAGCCCAGGCTGCCCTGAGCTCACTCACATTCCTCTGGCTTCTACTGTTTTGTCA